TTTTTTTTTTTTTTAGTGAAAAGGTATGAAAAAGATTTGTCAATATAGTCACAAAAAAAAATGGAAAGAAAGCGGGAACAGAAATAGCACCCTGGGTGGTGCAGAAAGGGGCTCTTGCCCACAGCCTGCGGCCCACTTCCTGTTCCCTTGGGGCCCGTGAGCCCACTCTACTGCAGATTATGCTTTTCCCAGGATGCATTGTGTAATGCAGCTGGTACAGCCAGGGTGGGCAGGCCAGGTGGAGGACCAGGCTGCAGAGAGGGGATGTGTGGTGACCTCTGGTCTCTGGGAGCTAGGGGAGGTCCTGAGTCAGGAAGCATTTCCCTAATGTTGGGGCTTCCTCGTACTTCGTACAGCACTTTGGACTTGCCGGATTGACTTCTGGGGGGCAGGAGGTGATTTCATGCAGGGGCACCAGGCACTGGCCAGAACATTCACAAACATGGTGGCAGCAAAGGCTTCCACTGGTTCCTTAGGAGAAGACCTTCAGATGCCTTTGCCAGGGTCTGCGGACCCTTGACGTACTTTCTCCCTCTTTCCCGCAGGATGAAGATGAGACGCTACAAGCTCTTTCTGATGTTCTGTATGGCCGGCCTGTGCCTCATCTCCTTCCTGCACTTCTTTAAGACCCTGTCCTATGTCACTTTCCCCCGAGAACTGGCCTCCCTCAGCCCTAATCTCGTGTCCAGCTTCTTCTGGAACAATGCCCCCGTCACGCCCCAGGCCAGCCCAGAGCCAGGCAGTCCTGACCTGCTGCGTACCCCGCTTTATTCCCACTCTCCCCTACTCCAGCCGCTGTCACCAAGCAAGGCCACCGAGGAACTCCACCGGATGGACTTTGTACTGCCCGAGGACACCACCGAGTATTTCGTCCGAACCAAAGCCGGGGGCATCTGCTTCAAACCCGGTACCAAGATGCTGGAGAAGCCCCCATCAGGGCGGCCAGAGGGGAAGACGGAGGGGGGCGACGGCTCGTCAGCCCGGGGCCCCGCCCGGCACCTGCTGAGCGCGCGGGAGCGCCCGGGGGGCCGCGGCGCGCGGCGCAAGTGGGTGGAGTGCATGTGCCTCCCGGGCTGGCACGGGCCCAGCTGCGGCGTGCCCACCGTGGTGCAGTACTCCAACCTGCCCACCAAGGAACGCCTGGTGCCCCGGGAGGTGCCGCGGCGGGTCATCAACGCCATCAACGTCAACCACGAGTTCGACCTGCTGGACGTGCGCTTCCACGAGCTGGGCGACGTGGTGGACGCCTTCGTGGTGTGCGAGTCCAACTTCACAGCCTACGGGGAACCGCGGCCGCTCAAGTTCCGGGAGATGCTGTCCAACGGCACGTTCGAGTACATCCGGCACAAGGTGCTCTACGTCTTCCTGGACCACTTCCCGCCGGGCGGGCGGCAGGACGGCTGGATCGCCGATGACTACCTGCGCACCTTCCTGACGCAGGATGGCGTGTCGCGGCTGCGCAACCTGCGGCCCGATGACGTCTTCATCATCGACGACGCCGACGAGATCCCCGCACGGGACGGCGTGCTCTTCCTCAAGCTCTACGACGGCTGGACGGAACCCTTCGCCTTCCACATGCGTAAGTCGCTGTACGGCTTCTTCTGGAAGCAGCCGGGCACCCTGGAGGTGGTGTCAGGCTGCACGGTGGACATGCTGCAGACGGTCTATGGGCTGGACGGCATCCGCCTGCGCCGCCGCCAGTACTACACCATGCCCAACTTCCGGCAGTACGAGAACCGCACGGGCCACATCCTGGTGCAGTGGTCTCTGGGCAGCCCCCTACACTTTGCCGGCTGGCACTGCTCCTGGTGCTTCACGCCCGAGGGCATCTACTTCAAGCTCATATCCGCCCAGAACGGAGACTTCCCCCGCTGGGGGGACTACGAGGACAAGCGGGACCTCAATTACATCCGGAGCTTGATCCGCACCGGGGGCTGGTTCGACGGCACGCAGCAGGAATACCCGCCGGCCGACCCCAGTGAACACATGTATGCACCTAAGTACCTGCTCAACAACTATGCCCAGTTCCGCTACCTGCTGGACAACCCCTACCAGGAGCCCAAGAGCACAGCAGCAGGTGGGCGGCGGAGCAAGAGTCTGGAGGGCAGGCCACCCGCCAGGGGCAAATTGGATGCAGTTGGAGGTTAAGGCTGCGTGATTTTATAGGGCCAGTGGCAGAGTTGGGGTGGTGGCTACCCCTCCTATTATCTTCCTGCCACCCTCTGCCTTCTGGCTGGTTCTCAAGAGGACCAGGAGTGGATGGGTGGGAGAAGGGTCAGGTCTGTGAGCTCACAAAACCTCCTTCCCCATCGGGAGAGATGAGTGAGGCCCTTGGGGCCGGCGAGAGTGCTACGGCCAGGAGGTTCCAACTGAGAGTGTGTGATGGTTCCTGGGAAGCAAGGGAGGGCAGTGGGGTGGGGCAGGGAGACTGCAGGAACTCCCCAGGGTGGCCAGAGGAAGCTGGGCCCCTGCTGGGAGAAGCCCACCATTTGGCTTCCAGGGGCTTTGGACCTGTGGTGAGAAAGGGGACAGGGATGCCAGGAAGTCTTGGGGCTCTGTAAATAGATGCACTTGGGTCCAGGAGGAGGAGGGGGCCCCAAGGTGGGATGGAATGCCAAGCGGCCTCCAGTTGGGATAAGCACAGTGTCCTCAGAAGTGCTGGACCAGACGGAGCTGAGACCTCCACCGTCTGCCGCACAGGACACCCCTGCTCTGGATGGTGTCTGTGCTCCCGGGCCCTCCTAAGCTGACGTAGGCCTGGGGTTTAGGGAACCCAAGAGGAGAGGTTTCTTTTGGTCACAAATCTGGCCTCGACATCCCTTCTTTGTGCATTGCTGTCTTGTGGGCTGCCCACTCTGACCTTTTGAGGCCCAGAGTCCAGTTCTCAGGGCAGGATGGAGCCTAGTAGGTCAGACCTGGGACGGGGGTGCGTGGGGTGAGAGGAGGCTCCCATCACCGCTTTCCACTGGAACCCACAGCCCCAGCTCCCCACCAGCTCAGGTGGAGTCACCCTTGTGTCCCTCCTTGGGGCTGGCTAGGGGCCAGGAAGGGTCTTGAGGCTGCCCTCGGCCTAAGAGGGACATCAAGGCCGGTTGTATGCCATCTCATTCCTCTTAGTTTGCCTCACAGAGGTGGGGGATGTATTTGTCAGAGTAGATTCTAAGCTGCTATAATTAAGAGACCCCAAAATACAATGTTTTAAGCAAGGCAAGTTTGTTTCTAACTTAACTGTCTCGAGGGAGATGGTCCAGAGTTAGCAGGGCCCCGCTCCCTGCTTTTCTTCAAACACACCTTCCAATTCTGGACAGAATGGTGCATCCAGGCCTGGGGGGAGCAGAGAAAGGTTAGGGAAGTGCACACCCTTTCCTGTTAAGGGCATGAGCCAGAAACACGTGGTCACCTCTGATCACATTTTACAGGCCAGGACTTAGTCACAAGGCCATAAGTGGCCGCAAGGGAAGCTGAGAAAGGTAGTCTAAAGCTGTGCTGCCTCATGCGTGGCCTCAGCTGGGGGGCCACTCAGTAAAGGAAGGAGGAGAGGATTGTATGTGGGGACAGGGAGCAGCTTTGGCCCAGGGGGAAGGGACAAGGGGTAGTAATGACTGGTGGAATCTTTGGATCCTGCTCTGCTGTTCAGAGCTCCTGGAACAACCTGTTCTTGCACCCCCTCACTGCCAGCCCAGAGCTGGGGTGAAGGCTGGGATGCCCCCTCCCGTGACCCCCTCAGACGTTCATCCAGTGACGCCAGATGCAGAGGCTGCCTGGGGAGCGGTACATGTCTGTGCGTGTGTGTGTGTATTTATGGGCATGGGTGCATGCTTGGTGTGGACTTGTATGTCTCTGTCACTGTATCCTTGTAAATATGTGCTTGTGTGGGGTGTGGGCGCAGGGCCCAGGTCTCCTCTTCCCCAGGACCTGGAGTCATGGCCACACCTCCTGCAACTCCTCAAAATGACTGAGGCAGAAAGCCCTTGGAAAGCCTGGAAAACAAGGCTAAAAGGGACATGAGGAGCAGCCTCTGGTGGGCAGGCGTGAAGCAGGCTGAGGGGGCTCTACTGCCCCCACACTCCCTCCTGTTTAGGGGTACCCCAAGGGAACTCCTCCCTTGTAGTTACAGCAGCCCTGCCCTGGCACCCCCTTGGGGCTGAGAAGTGGTGCAAGAGGTCAGAGTGTGTCCGTGGCTCTGAGTCACCCCAGGCCAGGGCCTGCCCTCCTTACCCAACCACCTCCACTCACCCCTGGGTGGGCAGCCCCTGGGGGCTCCGGAGTCAGGCCCGAGCCCCAACACAGGGCCTCCCTCCCTGACGGCTTCCTCCCCCCATGCCCCTGGCACCCTCAGCTGCCTCAGGGATGCCCCCTCCCCAGGCCGCAGGACACCCTGGCCTCCAGTTCACCAGCTTAGGGGCAGGGGGAGGAAGAGGGGAAGAGCTGACTTGCTGCGCCTCGCCTCCCCTCTAAGGCCCAGGGCGGTTCATGGTCTCCGCCCTGGCCATTGAGCGGAGAGTTCAGCCATCAGAGGGGTGAGGGCTGAGGCGTGGGGCTGTTTCACACACAGTGACGTCATACACTGGGAGGGCCAGGGGCAGCGGAGCCCTGGGCCGCTCCCCCAATGTGAAGGGAAACTGAACAGTGTGAACGCCGGCACACTGCCGGCCCTGTGGCCAAATCCCGATTTCTTGGCCTGGCAACTACTGGCCCCTGTGACCTCAGACACGAGGACGCCCAGCCCACCCACAGGTTGTGTTGGTTCCCAGGGGCAGGTGTGGGAGGAATTTGGGGGCAAAGGTGACAGTTGAGGTAGGGAGACAGGACTTGGCCTGGGTAGAAGGCAGGGCCCTGGGAAATGTATAATTTAAGAACACCAATAATAATAATACTATTTTTTTTTGTAAGGGAAAATCAATATGTACATCCTGAAATCATTTTCTCTGTAAATGGTTGGATTTCATTTCGCCCTTAAAGGGATGCTTAAAAGAGAAGATAATATTAATAATAAAAACAGCTACAAAGTCTGAAGGGTGTGCATGTGTGGCCAGTTTATGGGTGCTCGGGCGTTGGCAAAGACCCCCTTGCTACCAAGGCTGGGGGTTGGGGTGCGAGCCTTCCCGAGGACCTCATGCTGGTGAGAAGGGGACACAGTGACCTTCCAGCCAGGAGAGCGTCCTTCCCCCCACTGGTGGAAGTGGACTAGCAAGGGAAGGTGCCGGGTGGAGGTTGCAGAAGGAAGAGGTGGGCCTGGGACTAGTGATGCCCACCCTCCAAGGGTGGGTGGTGACGCCCTGGGAATCCAGAGAGGGCTTTGGTGCCTCTACCAGAGGGGACCGGTTCTCCCACAGTTGTGCTCTTGGGCACTGGAGACAAATGCTCTCCCGTTGATGTCAAGGCTTCTGAGGTCACACAGTCACTTGGTGGCAGAACAGGGCTGCACCTGGATTCCCAGTGCTGGTCCAGTGGCCAGCCCGCTGGGGCAGGTGAGGATGGCAGCATCTCCCTCCCATGGCACTGACCTTGGACTTGTGCTGTGGTGGTACCTGGGGCCATGCAATATGGGAGCCTCCTAGAGGCTTCCTCTTGGCTGTGGGTACTGGCATTGTCCTGGTTGGGGGAGCCCTCTGGGTATTTTCTAAGGAGTCTCAGAGATGGTGGGAGTGGATACACTCTGTCTGAACTCTGCCTTGGTACCCCGTGGGGTGTGGCTGCACAACTTCCATGTTAGATGGGGAGACTGAGGCCAGGGATGGGGAGACACTATGTTGGTGGCCAGAGCAGGTTGGAGGCATTGACAGGCTCTGTGGCCTTGGGATGGTTGCATATTCTTTTCCAGACTCAGTCTCCTGTCTGTGGAAATGGCTTATCATAGGCTTTACCGTACCCAGAGGACAGCATGAAATAAAGGGAAATGCTGTGCAACCTGTAAAGCCCCATCAGGCTGAGAGACACAAAGAAGTAGTGGTGACTGTGGTCAACATCAATTATTAAAGCACCCATAGGGTCACTTTCCAGGTTAGGGCTTGAGCTATGGGCAGTCAAAACCCCCAAATCCTGAAGGGCCGTCATCCTGGAATTCAAGAAAGTCCCCACCCCTGCACCCCAAGTCATGGAACATCCCCTGAAGGGCCATCATCCTGGAGTTCACAGAAAGTCCCCACCCCTACACCCCGAGTCATGGAACATTCACAAATCTCTGCTTCAAGCTCTGAAGCATTACAAGGCCATGCGCAGGGCCAGTCCTCTGGCCAGCGTTCCTGGCTCCTCCCTTGCTGTTGCAGTAAATTCCCAGAGACTCAGTTATTGCAGGAAACTCACTCTTTTAAATTAAATCACATTTTACATTTTATTTTTTTGTTTATCAAATATTTATTGCTGAAACACAAACCACCCTGAAATGTCAGACACACCCGGCGATGTATTTGCTCGCGGTTCTGCAGTCTGGGCTGGACTCAGCCGATCACTTCCTCTTCCCCACGGTGGATGGTGGGTGGGCAGCTGCGGCAGGGACATGCTCACCTGCTCAGGCTTGACCTGGGTCACTGGTGACAAAAGAAGGGACAACACACAATAATGAGCCTCAGCCAGTCAGTGAGTGGTTGCATACCCGATGAGATGGAGTGACCCCTGTAAGCAGGAACCCCAGACTTCACAAACTTGTGGAGATGAGTCTGAGGAGGACCCCGCATCACCCCCGACAGCTGCTGCCAAAGACAACATCGCCTGAATCCAATCCCAGGGAACACCGTGAACTCCAATTGACAGAGAATCTGCCCAAAAAACTGGCCTCCTGGATGCACCTCTAATCCCCTCTGTGTCCTTTTGTAGCGTTTGCCAAAAAAAGCCCAACCCTGCATCAGTATCACAAACCACGTTTCAAGCACCTATGCTAGACTGCTGAAAGTGCCTGGAGACAAAACATTAGCAGTGACACAAATCATAGCTACTGTGGCCTCCACATGTATCCTGGCTGTCCTTGTCATCCTGGCTGACTAACGTGTGTGAGCCCAGCTAAGACCAGAAGAATTTCCTAGTTGAGTTCAACTGAAACATCAGTCAAGTCTCATGAACTCAATTGCTTTAGCCGCTGAGTATGGGGTGGTTTGTTACCCAGCCCAATTGTGTAGATAACTGTTACAGTTTGCTTCTGGTTAACGACTGAAAGGCCACCTCAAACTAGTAAAGCAGAGAAAGAATTTATTGGTTGCTAACAGTAAAGTTTAGTAATAATAAAGGCTTTAGGTACAGCTTGAGGCAGAGCTCATTGTCCCATTGTCATCCAGCTCTCTCTGTGGCTCAGTTCAGCTCAGCTTCCCAACTTGTGTTGGCCCTACTTTCAGATAGGCTTGACCTTCATGTTTGTAAGGTGGCTGCAGCAGCTCCAGGCCTCACACCATCTCATCTTGTGTACTCACACAGAAGAAATAGAGCTCCTCTTCCTAAAAGTCCAGGGCCTGGATCCCCTTGACTTGGATGAGGCCATGTGATCATCCCTGAAACAATCAGTGAGACTGGAGAAGGAACAGTGTGGGACATGCTGATTAACCTAGATCTCCCAGAGCCCATTCTATGGTGGGAAAAGGAAGAAGGATATCCCAGAGATATTTGGGACACAGATATCACCACTGGCACAACCTCAGCTACCTCCGTCAGGCATTTCACCAGCCCTTGATCAGCTCCATCTCCTGGATCCTCATCTATGAAGTGAAGGTTTTCACTGGACAGACCTCTGGAGTAGTTGTGAGGCATCTCCTAGCTTGGAACAGAGCCTGGGGCACTGTGGGAGGTTTGTAAGTATGAGTTACCATCACCATGACAATGTCCTCGCCCTCCCATGTCCTCACGTGGCGTGTCTGACACATCGGTCATGCAGCCCTTCTCCGCACCCCTTCCCTTCCCTCCGCGACCCCCTCCTCCCCCTCCCTGACACCCCTTCTTGGTTGCCTTCCTGGCTCTTTTCTACCCCATGCGCCCTTCAATAAGGGGTTTACCGGGGCTCAGTCCTGGACCCTCTGCTTCTTGACTCTCACCAGGGTGGGGATGGCTTACTCTCTCCAGGAAGTCCTCTCTCCTGAACATCCAGCCCATGGCTCTACCTGCTTGTTAGATGAGCCCCCAAGGTGGCGAGTCACCTCAGACATCATGGGACTAAATGGAGCTCTGCTGCCCCCGAGGCTATCCTGTGTACCCTGTCCCGTTGATGACACCTGACCTACCCAATCACAACAGCTAGAAATCTGGGAGTCATCCTTGAATTCTCCCTAATAGTAGCTACCATTCATTGAGCGCCTACTGTGCGACAGGGACTATATTATAACTACCAGGGTCCAAATCCCAGATTCCCTCTTGCTAATCACATGTTCCTTAGACATAAGCCTTCATGTCAGCATTTTTTTGTAAAGTGGGGATGACACCTCCTACCTCAAAGTTGTGGGTATTAAATGATGCTTGTAAAGCAGTTAGCGCAGAGCTGGGCACACAGTAGGCACTCAATAAATGCTAGCTGCAGTGGATATTTGCAGTTGCTCTTCCCAGCATCTCTTCCTTCCAGAACTTCTAAATCATGCATTTTGTTGGGCTTGATATGCACACATGCATGAGACACACCCACACATGCACACACCCAGCTCCTGAGGTAGCCCTGAATGGCTAAGCCCATTGGTACATGCACTGCCTGGTCAGGGAGATTGCTTTAGGGACGGACGAGTGGTCTAATTTGGGCTAGTGGAGCTCCTGGAATAGAAGTTCTCGTTTAAGAATGATGGAAAAGAGCCCCCAATAACCAAAAAAAAAGGGGGGGGGGAAGTGCATTAAAAAAATGGAGTGAAATGGAGCCTCACCTAAAACCCACACAATTAGGACTTCTCAGTTGCATGGGCTCGTAAGTTCCCTTTTGAGAAAAACTTTGAGTTCGGTTTTCTGTGATTTACAACCAAAAGTATTCCAACTTTTCTAATCAAAGTGTTGGCTCTGTGAGTTCATGTGCACTACTCTCTTATCCCAGAACCCTTTGCATCACTTTTCACACAACTCTCGCTCACTCTTTCAGACTCCACTCAGGTCAGGCTCTCCAGGAGCCTAGTAGGGGAGGCTACCTCCCCACACTGGGTTAGGTGCCAATCCTCTGGGCTCCCATCATGCCCCAATCGACCCCAACATTGCCCTTTGCACATGGTCTTAGGATTGTCTGCTTTTGTGTTTGTCTCCCATACTTGGGAGCACACAGTCCTCACAAGACTCCATAGCGGTCTGTGGAATGAATCACTGACTGACAAATGAACACTGCTAATATATAAGTGGAGGCACTGGGATTTGAGCCCAGGACTGTCTCCAGTGCTGTCCAATATCCCCACTTCCCTGACACCCTGCTCCCTGAATGTCCCACTCTGCCCACCCAAGGCCTGGGATTCTGTCACATACAACCTACCTGCCCACCAGAGGGTGGGAGGTAGTCTATGGCCCAAACTTCCTCCTCCATAGAATGTTGTCCACAGGATCAGCTGTCCAGACTTGCCACATCTGCTATGTATCACACTGGATCAGTCCCATTGGCCTAATTAGAGCCTCCAGCCTGTCCGGCCAGATGGCCTATCTGAAGACCCAGCATGCTTCACACCAGGCCCTGGTTAGGATGCTCTGCCTTCTAGAAGTTCACATGGGACAAGGCCAGGCCCTCATCCATGCGACTGTCCATCATAAGTAGCCAAAAATAACAATCGTCTCTGTTCCCTGATCAGTTCTGCTAGTCCATCTGCTGTTCTTCCAATAATGTGACTTCTAGACTCCTCACCATTTGATTCTACAAACATTGACCAAGGCCTGGGCTTGTTGGGAGTTAGAGAATACAACATTCTTGAGATTATGGAAGGCAGAAAATTTTCTAATTCAGCCATTCCAGTTTATCATGACCACTTCCTGGGGCAGAGGCTCAGAATGGGGGTGTCCAATTCTAGAAAGTTCTTAGAGGGTCCCCTTGATCACCAGCATTTAAAGCAATCTGGTTAGGATGCTTAAGAAACAATTTAGTTTTTTAAAATTGAGTTCATATCTCAGGAAGCCCCCAGTTAGGTAAGCGATCCCACTCTGTGACAATTAGGCCTTCTGGTCTGACACCCACCGGTCCCACCAACAGCTGTGCCACCATTTTTGCCACTGCTTGCCTTTCAACTCAATCGTAATCGTAGCCTCAATTACTGACTGATTGCTATGTGACAGGCTCTGAAGAAGATACAGAAATTGTAAGATACATTTTCTGCCCTCTAGGCTCTCAGAACTGATTGGGAGTAGGTCAGTGTTCCTTGACCTTGGCACTACTGACATTGTGGGCCAGGTAATTCTTTGTTGGGCTGCCATCCTGTGCCCTGTAGGGGGGTTTGCAGCATCCCTGGCCTCCACCCATTAGACACCAGTTGAATCCACTCCCCCAGGGGTGACAACCAAACGTGCCTCCAGACATTGTTGAATGTCCCCAGGGTGCAAAATCACCCAGGTTCAGAGCCACTGGAGTAGGAGTTCACAGCTCGGGCATCTGTGTACGCACCACGCATTTTGCATATATTACCTCATATAATCTGAAGGTATTTGAGAAGGTTCCCCCACTTTCCAGCTTTGGAGATTGGAGGTGGGGAGCCTAAGATTTAGAGAGATTAGAACTATAAATTGCTCAAAGGCACACAGCTTTCAGGAAGGACTTAACAGCCAGGTCTCCACCACCCTTCTCACGGTGCTACACTGCCCCCTAGTGGGAAATACAGGCATGTCCGCAACTCGAGGGGCCTGCCGCCTCCTTTCCTCCCTTCTCACTGGACACCTCATAGCATTTGAGGCAGCTTATAAGAACACATGCCGTGAAATGGAAGAGCAAATGTATATAAATTAGAATCGTGAAAAATTACAAATAGAAAAGAAAACCAAATCTAGGAAATACACCAACTATTTGGAAAAATACCAAACGCTGAAGGCAAATGCTAAGGGAACGTGCAAGTGTTTAAAGGGGTAGGACCTCTTCTCCCCTTTTGCAGATGGGGAAATGAAGGCTCCAGAACTTGCACAGGCGGCCGCGGAGCTTTGAGGATGAACACGAAAGGAGGGCACCTTCGGATCAGTCTTGCCTACGTGGCAAGGCAGCGTGCGTCTTCCTCAACTCTGTGGCCCCAGCACTCTGCTGCGGACCCAGGCCCTGCATTGTACTGACACCATGAGCACATAATGACTCACCCTTCCTTGGCGACCCATCTCCCAGGCCTCTAGTTTGCATTATTAGTAGTAGTAGATGTTGATACCCACCCCACAGACATGTCCCCAAACAGTCGGGCCCCAGAAACTCCTCTATCCTGGCAGACCAGGAGACCAGGATAGTCAGGGTTCATTTGTCCCCCTCTGTCCTCACCTGCTTTTATGTCAGTGGGAGGTTTTGCCGGGCAGTGTCCTCAGCACCCTAAGACCCAACCAAGCACAGGCCGCATGGTTCGGGGTCTCGCTTCACTGCCTGATGAGGGGCGTCAGCCCTGTTACCTGCCCTCCCGGCTGGGTAGGCGTTTCCTCCTCTGACCATCTGATGTGAGAAGGTGGGGAGACTGGCTTTCCCACCGCGCAGGCATACTCGGAGAGGGCTCTTCCCCTTCTCTGGCCTGCCCTGGGCCAGGGGGTTTGCCAAGACACCTGGGAAGGGAAGGCTGCTTTGCCAGCAACTGAGTACAAGGGCATCAGTGGGTCAAATTCTAAGACCCAAAAGACCAGGAGCATGTGGTTATCATCTCAACCACACTCAGGTCTTCCCAAGTTCTGTTCATCCTCTGAAATATATCTTGTCTTAATTACTGGTGTCACCACACCCCACAGAACCTAACCTGGAAATGCAGACATCATCTCTTGCTCTTCCTTCTCTCTCTCTTCTAGTCTCTGCTGACCAATCCACTCTCCATGCTGGGCCACTGCCAGCCCATTCACGGCTTTTAGGCAAATTGGGAAGGGCATCCCTTCCTCAAGACGTTTTACTTCCATCTATTGGAAAATTGCTAGAGCATACTGATTTCATTAGGACAAGACAATTCATACTGCCAAAGAAATGTCATAAGAAACATACAGCTCTATAAGGGTCTATGATATGAAAGCTGACCCTTGGATATGTGGTACCCTTGTGCAGTGTGTAACATGAACAACTATACCCAGCAGCCCTGCCTCAACATTCTAGATCCAACCCTATCACCACCCCATCCCAACTTTAAGATACTCTATAGCTCCCCAACATCTACAGTGTCAAGGCAAAGTTCCTGATGTAGCTCCAGGGAGTCTCTACTACCCTATCATGCTACCTCGTTCCATCTCCTTGGACTGGGATAGACACCTGACTCAAAGGCAGCCACTCCATCTACAGGCTGAGCAGCAGTGCGCATGATATGGCCTGGTGTGAAGAGGTAAGCTGGGTCCATCAGCAAGCAGGCTGGAAAGGAGGCAAATGGACCAGGTGCAGAAAGAAGCAGCCATGAGAGATCAGCCTCCAGTCACTGGTTCTGATGGACCCAGACCTGAGCTGGCTTGAATGGAGCTCTGACCCATGAACTCAAGGTTGCCCTACCAGAGCTGCGACTTGGGGGAGGTCACTCTGAGCCAAGAATCATCAAACTCAAAGTAGTTACAATATTCTGAAGACCTGAAGACGGGGCCCTCAAATACAAACAGGAATTTAGTAGGTGATTAAGCTGGCATGTCCTGGCACTTGGGGAAAGAAGGATTATTTCATAAATATTTGACAGCCATTTAGAAGAAAGACTAATTACAATCCTTACCTCACTCCTTACACCAAAGTTAATTCCAGGTGAATGCACCAAAGTTATGAAGTTTTTTTAAAGTACAATTTGGCCAGGCTCTTCTCTCTCTGGGCGGCTGTGCAGCTGAGGGTGTGTGCCGGGTTGGCAGGGAGGGACCGAGCTGGTGAACCTCTGTGACAGCTGCCGCGCGTTTCACCCTGACTGCGCCCAGAGCCCCTAAGCCCACTGTACCCATCGGCCTCCTGTGACACTCTCTTCCTCCCTGGAATGTGCTCAGCTCTCATCTCTTTACCCGCGGCTGCTCTGCCATCTGGGCAGTCTCTTCGGGAAGCCCTGATGATGGGTGAGGACTTCAGGTCCAGCGCCCCTTGGGTTTCTAGCTCCCAGGCTGCACCAAAGTCTTCTGTTTCAGTCCCTTTCCTGAGCTGGAGAAGGTTTTACCTGTGGGCTTGAGCCCAGCGATGCCATTTTGGCTTTCTCTTTCTGTGTTTTAAGGTTCAGTGCTTCGTGGTGGCAGCTGGGAAGATCTGTCATTGTGCTTTGTCATTGTGACTGGTGGGCAGCCAGGCTTTCGCTGGTTCCTCTCCCTCTTCCTCCCCCTGTAGGATGAGAAAACCTCACAAGGCCTTGGTGGACTCAGCAGCCTACAGGAGTCCGATGGGTAATACAAATGAGCGAGCACCCGTGGATGAGACGATAGGGAGTGGTGGCAATTGGGGGGGAGGAGCTGGGGAGCTCATATTCTGTCCAAAGGTAGTGGCTTCTCCTTAGCACAGGTGGGAAGCCCAGTGCTGCAAGATCTTCTAAATATTTAAACAAATCCATAAAACCCTGTCTTTTATAATTTTCTGGGTCTTACAAAGCTCTTTGTGGAGCAAGAAGAACACTCTTGTTCCGTCCAGCATGTAGACTTCCAGTTTGCCCCTTGAGGAAGTGGAGGCTGTAACCAGCTGACGTGTTGCAGCCTCATCTGTGAAGTGGGTTCCTTGAAACCCGGTCCTAATAGGATTGTGGTAGAGACCAACAGGGGATGAAGAATGTAAAGGGAAATCAGGTAACAGTCACTGAGCAGTTGCTCTGTGCTGGGCACTAAACAGTCTCCCCACCCTTCTCCTAAGCCCTGAAACACGCACAAGGCAAGTGGAGGAGCTGGTGTCTGGGCACCAGCCCAGCATATCTCTGTGGCCTGCCGGAGAGAGGGTATTCCGTGAATGAGCTTGCATTCTCTTTCCTCTTTGCAACACCACCTGGCAAAACATGGGCAGCAAAGATTTCACAGGCGAATGGTGGAACCTCACTCTTGTCCAGGAATATCGGGTTCTAGCCTGCTGAATTCAGGATCAATGACTTCTGATGACAGCAACCCCATTAGGAGGAAGGCAGCTTCCTCTGAGAGTCCCTTCCAGGTCCCTGACTGGCTCACATCCCGGAGCTTTGCTGATCGGGTTACAACCAACTCCTCCAATCCTCCATCAGCCCTGGCAGTAAGAGGGAACCTTTACTCTGCCCTGGGGAGGTGGGGCTGGGCGGAGCTGTGCTTGCTGTCTTGTTATCCAGCAGCAATTTCCCCTCAATTCAGGGCAACAAGCATTTAAAGAGGGTCTCCATTTTACAAGGCCTCCTGCAGGTCAAAGTAAAGGGACAGACTGGTAAGACCCAGGCCTCAGGGTGCGCAGCCTCTGCTCCCTAGGGAAGCCTGGGGCCGCCCTGTGGGCTCCTTCCCTCCCCTCTTCTCTGCTAGAACAAGTACCAGCCCACCCCCAAGCCAAGCCCAAGGCAACTGGCTTTCCTCTCCCTCCAGTCGTCCTCTCATATTGCCCTTTCCCAGCAAAGCCACTGTCTCCCTTTCCGCTTCATTCAGTCTTCAGCCCCTGGGCCTCTGCCCCCACCCCTTGCTGAGCCCGTCAGGCAGGGACCAGCTCCTGCTTGGGGGAAGGATGACACTGCACTCCCTGGGGCACTGGCCTTCGCGACCATGTCCTTCCTTCCCAAGGCCTCCACCACGCTGTCTTCTGACTGTCCTCTGCAGGGTCCTTTGCTCCCTTGGCCTTAGATGCCCGTGTTCCCAGGGCTCCCCTCCTTGTCCCCTTACTCCACCCTCGTCCCTAGTGACTTCATTTATCCCACGGGTGGTCCTGTGCTCCAGACCTGAGCTCAGACCCTAGTCCTGCTGCTTATGGCTCTTGAAGATCCCTTGGCTGTAACTGGGACACTGACAGCCTTATCCTCAGGGGGCTGTGATGAGCGTAGAGGCACACAGGAAGGGCTGAGTCAGTGTTCACTCTTACTGCCCCTGGTGACTCTCTCGAGTGGCCTGGGGACTGATCTGTAGGTCTCAGCCCACAGTCTCATCCCTGTAAAGGGGCAAGGGTGCCCTTCCAAGATGCAAGCCTGATCATGGCACAGCCGTCCCACTGCTACTGGCTCAGGGCCAAACCCCTCTAGGGCTGTGGTCATCTGGGCCTGCCTTCCTCACCAGTCTCATCCTGGGCTCTTCTCAAATTCTCTGGCTCTAGTCCTCTGAGCTTTCCAATGGTCTGTGACTCCTGCCCGGACCACTCCTACCCCTGGACCATTACCTGGTCAGTCCTAAGGCTCAGCCATGGTTCTAATTCCTGCTGCAGATACACTTGACCTACTTCTCTCTCATTCCTTCTCAGCATGAGTCAATTTCAAGGCCAGATTGCTTAGGCACTCACTTAATATAATCCCCTTTTATGAGTGTAGAAACCGAGAGTCAAGAGAGGTTGATGAACTTGAGAGGGCTGCCCAGCCGTCCGGTGACAGAACTGGGCTCCAAACCCAGGACTGACTCCAGACTAATGGTGCTGGTGCCGCAGCCTAAGGCACCCCCACCTTCCCGGGAAACCTCAGGGAAGGTTTCCTTCCCTGCTCACCTGTCCAGCCTTGTATTTCATCCCCCGACCCCGCCATCCCCCACCCCTACTTTAGTGCCCACGCCCCACTTCTGCACTACGTCGTGGCTTTTCTGGTTTCCACAGCACCTGCCGAGGCGTCTCTCAGCACCTGTGTGTTCTTGTCAGCTTTCTCATTGACCCTGGCCTTCTTGAGGATAAGAACTGCATGTTTTATTTCTGCACTCCTGCCTCCAGGCCTGGCACCACACTGGATGCTCACTCAGTGCTGGGTGAATGACTTGGTTAGTACATTGGGAACAGTAATGTTAATTCTCATGGGTCATTTGGCAAAAATGTTTTCTTCATTTTGTCCCAGCATCCTGCCTTAGCCTTCTAGGGCCCAGACCCTTGACCACTGAGGCTTGCCAGGGTCGGAGGCCACAGCTTGAGATTCCCTGAGCTCTTGCCCTGAAACAGGTGTCCTGGGTTCCCAAAGTCTGCCTGTGGGCTCATGGTCCATGTACCCATCCCCACAGGAGAGAGAATGGCATCTTGTAACGTCACAAGCTGCTGCTTCCTGGGTGTTCACTGGGTGTCAGCTCCCCGATGTTCCAAGAGCACCTTGCATGCCTCCCAATTTGATCCTCAGCATCCTCTGTGGTAGTTCTTTCATCTCCACCTCCGATCCACAGACGAGGAAGCCGAGGCACACAGCTCAAGGCACTTGCCCTGAGCTCACCACCACCCCACTGCTCCTTTCACATCAGATGGGACTTCACCAGCCCCACTCATCTCTCCCAGGCCCTCTGTCTTCCTGGAAAATGTTCATTCATTCATTCACTCCACAATTAAATGCCAACTATGTGTGAGTCGCTGTTCTGGTGAGCAAGTGCTTCCCTCTCACCCTCCATCCACGATCCCGTAAGATGCCGTTGCCATATCCAGATATGACACTGTGGGTTATGTCAAAACTCCAGTATCAGCCTGAGAGATGCCAGAAGGCCTCTTGCCCCAGCAACCGAGCAGAGCTCTGGGATTTGGGTCAGTGCCCTTTGCTGGAGTCTGTGGCCTACTAAGGCACCAGGGATACATGTGTGTGCGAGATGCCTGTTTCACTGCCCCCATCCCCCACCCCATTGCCATGGGATCACTGGAAGCAGGAAGGAGCCTGGTGAGCCTGCAAGTAAAGAGAAGACCTGAAAGAGCAAGAAGGGCCTGGCGGAACTCATCTGAAAGGCAGAACCCCAGGGGGCCTCCCTCCTTCCCTCCTAAAAATAATATTCTACACAACAGGAGGGGCAGGAGGCATATGAAAGATGACCTGCTCTTCCAGCTGGAAATGTCACCGATTAGATTTATTTGGGTCACAAAATATTTCTTTAAAAAGCAAACTAGGGCAGCTACAAGAGTGGAAAGAACACATTTCAGAGTCAGACAGACCAGGGCCCCACTGTGAGTTTCTCAGCTGCCTGGCTCAGGGTCCCGGAGCAATGACGGAGCCTCTCAGTCTTGGGTTTCTCATCCGTAACACCGGGATAACCATGCCTCCCAAACAGGGATGTTGGGATCAGACATAATAAAATGTTTATGAAGTCCAAATGTCTGGCACACAATAGGTGCTTAATAAAGGTGGCTGTCAGTGCTGGTGCTGCCTCAGTGGGAGAGGGCGAGGGAGATGACTGCTGGGTTTCATCCTTGTTTCCCCCATGCCAAGCCAGATCTGGGGGAATGGTTCTGAATATCCCAGATGCTACACCCACTATTGCTCCTAAGTCTGAAACCTCCCTCCTTGAGGCCCCCACCTGGGCACCTCCGTTTCCCAGAAGGCCCAGGGGCTCACCATCCCCTGGTGCTGCAGGGGCTCCCTATGTCACAAAGAAGCCTTTTCTCAACTGAGTGGAGATCTGAGGCCCTGGAAAACAGCCTCCTTTTAGCAATTTGGAAAACCTGGATGTGTTCCTGATAGGCTGGAGCAGGGAAGCAGCAAGGCAATCACTTCGGGCCCCCAGGTTATGGTTGACCCTTCTCTCTCATACCCCCAATCGGCAAATGGTGTGGCCTCACCTCCCAATACTTCCAGGACCTGACCACGTACCCCTCCACCGCCACCTACTGGCCACAGCCCCGTCCTCTCCTGCTTGACTTCTGCAGCAGCCTCCTGTCAGTCTCCCTGCTTTAGCTCTTGATCCCTTCAGGTATCAGACTAGCCCCACGGAAAGGGAATCCAGGAACCCTTTCCACGAAGATGGAACCGAATGTGAAGAAGGAAGCCTCTGTTCCTCCCAAAGCCAAAGCCAGGGCAAAGGCTTTGAGGGCCAAGAAGGTGGCACTAGAAGGCATCCACAGACACACAAAAAGACAGGGGCTACACAGCACGCACCTGCCGGCGGCCTGAGGCACTGCTGCTCCGACGGGAAGCCCTGATCTCCTTGGAGGAGCACCCCAGGGGAAACAAGCTTGACCCCTATGTCATCATCAAGTTCTCCACCCACAGAGTCCACCATGACACCAACACACTGTGTTCACTGTTGATGCCAAGACCATCAGCACCAGATCAGACAGGCTGAGAAGACGGCCTGTGGCATCATGTGGCCACAGCCAACACCCCAATGGCATCTGATGGAGAGAAGACATGTTTGGCTCCTGACTATGATGCTTAGGATAGTGTCAACAAAATTGGGATTATCTAAACTGAGTCTAGTTGGCTAATTCTAAATACACATT